AACATTACTTATTTAGCCCATAAAGTCTCCTAATCTAATAATGTTTGTCAGAATGAACACTTGACGAGGTCTAATATGAGTGCAGCACCCGTTTGTACCCACTGAGAAATTATTTTTCAGACAAAAGGACAGAAAAAAACAGCTACAAGACCCCTATCTACCCTGACCTCATCCTTCAAGCTGGAATGAGATGAGAGCAGAACTGAACAAAAGCAGTCTGCCAACACACTGTCATCAGATACAGACTCAGGGGAGTGAGGAGAGCCTGCATGGAGAGCCAGGTCGCTACACCTCTCTCTTTCCCACACAATCTCATAGACTGCACTGCAGGGGTTCTGAGATAACTGAACACAAGCTCATAGTTTTCCTTGAAAAAATGTCTAAAACTGATTTTAACCAGTGGAAGTACCAACAATTGGTTAAAAGCAAGAAAAAGCATTGTGAATTTCTAGAAAACTGCCATGTATCAAAACAAAAACTTTCCATTACATTGTATTCTTTTACAAGCAGTGGTTCAGAGAAAAGAAGTTTGTTCTCTCTAAACAAAAGGTTGCAGAAAAATAGATTTTGCATAAAGTCTGCACTGTGAACCTAGTATGGAAGCTGGTTTCCGCCATGGGATTTTTTTAAAGGTAATTATAACTTCTCACAATTTTACATTTTTCATCTCACAATTATAACTTTTTCCTCGAAATTGTGATAAAAAAATTCAGAATTGTTACATTTAATCTTATAGAATTGCAATACATAAACTCAAAATTGCAAGACATAAATGCAGACTTGCAAGATTAGACTCACAATTCTGAGAAGTCAGAATTGTGAGACATAAACTTGCAATCACTAGAAAAAAGTTAGAATTGCGACATAAAAAGTCGCAATTACCTTTTATTTTTATTTTGTTGTAAAAAAAAAAAAAACAGTTCCGAGAACTTCTGAGAAAAAGTTGCAATTGCGAGATGAAACCTCAAAATTCTAGAAAAAAAGTCAGAATTGTGAGGAAAAAAAGTCAGGATTGTGAGCTAAAAAGACAGTGAACCAACAGGTTTCCAAACCCTGCAGGTGTGATACTGACTTGTAGTTCATTATCAGTCTAGCAAAAGTGTGGGAAAGGAAACTGCACAGCAGATTTTTTCCAGTCTCTCACCATCCCAGCTCAGCATTACTGACATCAATGGAACGGGGAGAGAAGAGTCCCAGTCGCTCTGGATTTATGAGGCAGGACTGGAATTTAGAGGAGCATGTGATACACAGCAGATAAATCCTACAAATCCCCTCCAGTTGAGCTCCTTCAGTGTTTGTGATGCCTGCAAAGGTGGATGCATCATAGGTGAAGGGTCATTTCTAATCTGATAACAGACAGAGGGGCCTAAGGTTTTGTAATGTATGATGCATTTGCTTTTTATTCTCACCTTAGTATTACTAAACCAAAGAAGAATGTGGTGGTACAAGGCTCCAAGCACTGTTTTTAAAGGAATGTGTTAAAGGGATAGTTCAACCAAAAACAACATTTTTGTAATTTACTCACCAACCTGTATGACTTACTTCTGTGAAACACGAATATGTGAAACACAAAAGACTAAATAATTACAATGAATAGGGACTAAATCATTAATCCTCCAAAAGTGCCACAAAGGCACCATAAAGATATCAGAAAAGCAATCCATATAACTTGTGCTGTACATTACACATTTTCTAATGGCATATAATTAGGAATGCACCAATATTAAATTCTGCACCATACTAATAAGCTAATAATTATTTTTTTATATTATGGACAATAATCGCTTAATCTGTATTAAAAATCTTTACCAAAATTTTTAATACCAAAAAATAAAAATAAAACTAAAACTAAAATCAATCAATTTAAGCACCACAACATTAATGTACAGCATGAAAAATTGATATTCCAATTGATTTGCTGAAGATTACATTTAACAGTGTTATTAAATTTTAGTGTTTTTAAAGATGAACTTGATGCTCACTGCATTAGATGACTTCAGATATAATCTAAATGTAAACTAAAGAGCGTGCACAATTAAATATCCAATAAAAACCTTGACCGATAACTGATATGATACTGATACTGTGCATCCCTATAGTGTGCAAAAAAAAAAAAAAGAAATTCAAGTCATTACTCAGGGAACAACATGAACATAAAATAATGTAAATAGGTTTTCATTCACAGGTTTTTCATTGCTGGGTGAGCTATTCCTTTAACACTTTAATACCTGACCCTAAAATGACAAGATTTGGCAGACGTACTGTATACGTGTTAAAATATTACATATGGCAATTTTAGAATAAACACAGAAAGCCCTTTTATTGCAAATAAAAATTCTAAATAAAACCTTCAACACAAATCACCTTGCAGTGTAATAAAAAATCTTTATATTAGGTTTATATATTTCTAAGTCTATGACAGATAGTAAACAACTAGAGTAGTAAACAAGAAAGTAAACAACTAAAGTGCTTGTCGGTTCGAACCAACTCTGGGCACATAAAAATGACAGTTTGCAACAATCAACTTGTATTGTCCTTTTTTCCCCTTTTATATAATACATTTACGGTCTACTTTTTCTTTTTTTGCTGTTTGAGCATCTTTCTTCGTTTTAGTATCATGTCATGAAGTCTTTCGAGTCCCTCTTTGAGACCGTCACCAATGATGGCGCAGGTGGACTGCAGGTGCCACGGCGTAGAGGGTCCCAGTTCATTGAGTGCCAGCATGGTCTCTATCTGTGACAGTGACAGAGCCTGTCTCAAGTCCTGCTTGTTAGCAATAATCAACACAGGCACTCCTTGATTTTCAGAGGATCGGGCGATTTTGTAAAGCTCCGTCTTCGCCTCTTCCATTCTCTCCGCATCCAAAGAGTCCACAACAAACACTATGCCATCTGTGCCGCGTGTATAGGACTTCCAAAGAGGGCGCAATTTCTCCTGGCCGCCAACGTCCCAAAAGTGAACCGTCACTGTTTGCGAGTCCCCAACAGGTACTCTGACTTTCTCTGCATTGAAACCTTTGGTGGGGACAGTGTTGACAAACTCATTGAACTGCAGACGGTACAGGACCGTCGTTTTGCCTGCAAAGTCCAGACCCAGAATAGCGATGTGAAGAGAATTACAGAACGGAAGACTGGATAGAAAGTTGGGTTGCTCTGATATTCCGTTCCCCATTTCTCTCAGGAGTATAAGAACAATACGAGTTTAGGATGATGTTCCATAGGTCCAAAATACCAGATGCATATCCAGTGCTTGCCTAGAAGTTCATACACAGAAATATGGTGGTTTTTAAATGGCTTTTGAATGATCTAATACAATCTGCCTGACTGCAAACCCACAATTAATTATTTGTGAGGGTCTGTTTTAAAAACGTACCACTTTACATGCCAAACAAAATGAGACTTTCAGGTAAAGTGGGTTATTTTTTAAGAACTTCACTGATAGATTATGATCATTAATCATACTGTTATGAGCTATCATAGACCATATCATACAACAGTTACAGCTTTTAAGGTCGACTTATCATCAATCTAATAGATGAAGAATGGATTACCAGCTGGTGGGGCTGAGACTAACAAGGTAGATCTTGATCAAGCTGGTTAGAGCTAGAAAACTACTAGTTTACACCCCTAAATAACCAGCTACAATGTTCCAAAAACCAGCCTGACCACCTTAAGCTCATATGACATGGTTTGCAGTAGTAACTAAATTCCAACGTTTACCATTTTTCATTGCAATATAAAGACATTTTGTAATATTTTAATAACATACTTTTAACCTTTTTTTTTTATTCTGCTCCACATTTAAAAGCAGTGCCTAAATGTGTACATTAATAAATATTATTTATATATATTTACAGTACATTTAAGAGGGTATAGAAACATTAAAAACTCAAAAGTCTCAGAATATATGATATAGAATCTCGCACATTTCATAGTTTGGCATAAATGAAATGTGGCATTCACCCCAATCGAGCATATAAGGAATATAAAAATTGTATTAATTTGAATAGGAGTCTGTAAACCCACAGGACCAAACCGCTCAGAAATGAAGCTTATCTCAATTATGCAATATTTCCTAGGAACAGATAAATAGGGTGGTCTAACAATAAAAGTGAGCGCGATAACAAGAGTTCTGCTGACGCCGTGAGGGCATTTCTCCGGAAGTCACTCGCGTCCACCTGTCGAATCGAAACTTTTCTGAATTAACCCAAAGTCCATGTAGACATCCTACTTCTCCAACCGAAACATTAACTATATCAGTATATAATGAAAGTATAAACTTAATCTATGTGACAACATCTTAAGAGAAAATCTGTGGATGTTTAAAGCGCATGAACTGCAACTCGCGTTTTGGGCCAACATGAATTAATCATGATGCGCAGACAAAACTAGCTTTTACCAAAAACACAGAGGAGCCTGTGTTCCTTATTGTTAGTTAAACGGTTTAAAACTAAACTCTTACCACAGTCGCCCATTTAACTTACCGTTCAGACTTCATACTTCGCTAGAAAGCGTCATTCATTGACGCCCTTGCTCTGCTCTGCGCGCTACTGACCGACCCCCAGCGCGTAGCAGCAGCAGCTCATTTGTTTACCTTTAAAATGATTGGTCAACGGAGGTCATGCGCCCATAATATATGCAAAGAGATACAACATAAGAAAGCTACAAAATTGCTGCATTTATTACGTCTTTGTTGTTTGTATTTCTCAATATATAGGGTATTATTCATTTATTTATTAATTAATTCATTTAAAAACAAAATGTAATTAATCTTTCTAACATTTTGTTTGTATTGTTCTGTAAGTTTTGACAGTTTATCTAAGAAAAGAAAAGACAAAACAACAACAACAACAACAACAAAAAGCAAGAAAAGTGTGTAATAATGATGTTTACAATAAAGTGGGGTTCTCCATAAAACAGCAGTACTCATTAGACAAAACAGAACATTGATGTTTAAACTAGCTTTATCTGCACCCCACAACACAAAATTCTTTCTTTTGTCTTAAAACAGATTCATTTCCTCCAGGAGTTGGTCAACTTTTCTTCAACTCGGTCCATTAAGGCACTATATACTCCTCTTCTGCGGCGATGTCTCTATAACACAGGAAGTAAAATATTTCCAAAAAGGTTAATAAATTGCCTGTTCAGTAAGATAAATATGAGTGTTCTCTCAGTTCTCACTGTATAAGAAGCAGATTTTGGAGGCCATGGCATCTTTGGTAGTACGAGCTTTGCGTCCCATTTAAGCTCTGCTGGTTTGAAAGTATCCATTTTGCTTACTGTGTGTCTATGAGAAGGGCTCAGGTTAGGATGGCTGTCAGTAACTGTGGAGACATTGAAATAAAATGCAATCAAGCCACAAAGTATTTGACCTTTGTTAATGGATTTTAAGACTGTTAGATAAGTACTAAAATATTGATTACAGTGGTAAAACAAGGGCAATCATATGCAACACAGTTTATGCCAACCCAATTTTAAGTGTTGAAAAAACATTCATATTTCTCTCTGTTTTTAATTATGATGTCTTAATGAAAGGAATGTTACCTTTGTTTAGGCACTGAGAATTTAAGATCAAGTAGCCAGGATCCTTTTCTAAAAAAGTCACCATATCTGGCATTCCCTCAGCACACTGCAATGCATTAAGAGTGTTTAAATGTCTTATAGGTAGCCAGGATCCTTTTCTAAAAAAGTCACCATATCTGGCATTCCCTCAGCACACTGCAATCGCATTAAGAGTGTTTAAATGTCTTATAAAGACTGTCATCTAGTGTTGATGTAGTGCAATGCAGATAATGTGAGCCATAATCTTAGTACAAATTTACAGGTCTGAAGTTATGAAGTTTTGGATCTTTGTAAGGCCCCACTGGATATATCCCTTCTCTCACAAACAACAATTTTGACTCTAGTGAGTCTGGTGGTTTGTAGAACGTGATAAATGTTCTTGTTTTACATCCCTTTTGCTCAAGTCCAGGCAATAATGAAGGAGTAACATCATTAATCTTTTCCAAAATAAAAGATTTTTCTCCCACACTATTATTTGATTTAACCAGGTTAATGTTTTTGCCCTTGATCTGTGGCAACCCCAAAGACCTGTACAGTTTTGGGGTAAAGTCAGGGGCTTTTATGCTCCATGGATCAACGGGAACTACTGGGTGTGGGGGGACAAGTCCACAACTCCTGCTTGAGATCAAGTTTTGACACAGAAAAGAGCAGCTTTCTTCTGAGGTCAACAGACATGGGAGTTTCCAAAGTCTCAGGAAGATTCATTGTGAATCAGCCACATCTTTATGCTCAGAGCAATAATCTGAGACCAAACCACACACAAGTTGTAGATTGAACAATGATTATTGGAGTACGTTTTAAAAATAGTATACAGTTTTGGGGTAAAGTCAGGGGCTTTTATGCTCCATGGATCAACGGGAACTACTGGGTGTGGGGGGACAAGTCCACAACTCCTGCTTGAGATCAAGTTTTGACTCACAGAAAAGAGCAGCTTTCTTCTGAGGTCAACAGACATGGGAGTTTCCAAAGTCTCAGGAAGATTCATTGTGAATCAGCCACATCTTTATGCTCAGAGCAATAATCTGAGACCAAACCACACACAAGTTGTAGATTGAACAATGATTATTGGAGTACGTTTTACAAGAAAATAGTATTTCAGTCTTTCTACTTTAAAATTTCACATTTAATTCAGTGTGTTACTTGCAGATTCTTTGTAATTATTTGAGAAATTTACTAGCAATTTCTGATCGAAAATTGTTATTATACGATTTTTTTAGTGATATGTACGATACATAAAATTGTTACACAATCTTTTCATTAGCAACCTCATAAATTCCATTTCATCTTAATGAAGAATCTATACAAATGCATTACATATGCAAAAGTAGGCGTAAGATTAGATTTAGGTGATAGACTAAATTATATAACATATATTATTTTAATAATAAGACATAATACAACAACAAAATTAAGAAAAAATAAAAATAAAATAAATAAATAAAGATTTGAGCAAGACCTATTTCTATCAACCTTACAATTTAAAGGAAAGAATTCTTAAAATCACTTACCTTTCTTACAGCAGAGGCTGTTATTCAGCCCATACAAAGTAAACAGTAAAGAGTTCAAATTGCTGTGTTTGATTAAATTTTTTTTAAGCCAGCTCAGCATGGAGCACTGGATACAACAAAGTTGCCAAGCAGCAAGAGTTTCAAGTTCTCATTTTAGAGACTCTGCTGGACAGAGCACAGTGGGGACATTGTTGAGGAAACAAAGGGACGTCTTAGCAACCATCAAACTATGAATTAAAGTCACTTTAAGTATGAAATACTTTGTGGAACATTTTATAGCAAGAAATACCTATGAGACATATCTTCAGTTATTTTAATTAATAAAAAATAATCCTGACCGTAAAAATGTGTG